GTGTAAATGGCCTACATGTAGTCTGGGAGGTGATTTTTACTCAAGGAATCCCCTTTTCTTCCAGGAAATCCTGTCTCCTGCTGCCTTTCCGTTTAATACATTTTCATATAAATCAATATCAAGTGCTGATTCTGCCTTTCTTAAGTGTATTTCAGTAAGATTACCCAAGTGTCCATATAGTTTGGATTGTAATGCTATTAAATACACGTTATGTATTGGAAATTTTCTACCTTTTCAAGCCATGGGTTTCTTTTAAACAAATCACGCTCAAGTGATTCTTAGTTGGGTTTCTTAGCTTCTTAGTGACTTACCCTGGAATATATGTTTAAAATGCTTTTTTCTGCCCACTCCTTATTTTTATGTTATGTTATATTGTATCCAGACTTTTTCTATTGCAGTGGCAATAGTCAAAATCCAGCTGAGACATACATTAGCTGTGCCCTTCTTCATTTATATTTATATCTAAATCTTTTTCTGGTTTAGGTGGAAGACTAGATCATACCAAATAACAAATTAGGAAGAGGACTATAGAATCAGCAAATGAAATTAAAAAAGATTGAGATGAAAATCCAAACATCTGACAGATGTCATTTATTGGATACAGGTGCAGAGGTTTGCATACACGTAATTGAAACATAAACTATAAATTAAAAATTGGAAGCACTAAGATAAAAAAGGCTATTTATGTGTACATGTTGACAGTTACCTGTAATGTAGATCTTCAAGACACTTTTGGGAAACAATTAAAAAGGAAAAACAACAAAAGGATACTGTATATAGTTAAAAGTTTAAATCATGTCATGTTATGTTAAAATTGTCAAATGCACTAGTATGGCCTTATTTAGAATAATTTGTACAACTTTGGTCATTACATTACAGAAGATATATTGCTGGTCTGAAATGCATTCAGAGAAGAGCAACCAGATACTATCCAGGACTCAAAGGATGTCCTACACCATGAAGGCTGAAGGAACTGAGATATTTTAATCTGGAACAGAAAAGATTACGATTTTGATATTCAAAATCCTGAATGGCACAGGCTCATATTGACTCAGGATTTCTTTGGAATGAAAGTGAAACACGAAACAGAGGACACAAGTGGAGACTAACCAGAAATTTAAAATATTTAAAACCAACAACAAGACGTGCTTTGTAACCCAATGTTTGTGAGAGAACACAGTAGAATCAGCATGACTGAGATCCTCGGACCAATTAACAATTACCAATTGGACCAGGCAGGCTGAATGGCCTCCTCTCATTTAATACCATACTTATGTTGTAACCCTACACATGCCTAATCATAGTTCTTAAACAATGCCAAATGATATCAGAGTATTTGAAATAGTTCCATGCCTTTGTCTGTTTTACTAACCTCAATCCTTTCCATTAAGAAATTGCTAGTCAATGATATCTAGTAAAGCTGGTTAATGTGTAAATGTAGCAAGTCACACTTGGAATCTCTTCAATAACTAACCTGACCTATTTCCTTGCATCCTATACAGATGGAATATATTATGCAGGGTGGTAGTCATGGATTATAAGTTATAAACATCACTAGAAATAAAAGCAGAGGGTAGCCTTCCATTGTTTTCATGGTAATATAATGCAACAGAGTGGAGAAGTTGAATGCATCTCCACAGAAGAAATTTCCAAAGATATCTTAAATACATCTGCTTCCTTCATTCAAAAGGGCACACTGTGCGAGGGACCTCATGCTACGGCACAGCACAGACTAAATGAAAGCAGTAACTCTTTCCCTCAGGCGAAAAAGATCCCTGTTATTAAAAACACAATCAGACTTCATTCAGACTTTAAACTTTAATGTATATTCTTTCCATGTTTCTTTCATACAGGCAAGGGTTCTATTGTCTTTCTGAGCTTTAGAAGCAGGCTTGTGAATGGAATATTATAATTATCAGAATTATTATTGACATTGGTATTGGACTCTGTTAAACAGCTTTATTTTTCATTAACTTAGTTCTTTTATAGCGGCTTTCAGTAATCTCAAATACAATTGTTACACTGCAAGGATATTTTATCACGTTTTTGCAGAATTTGCAGCAACATTGCTTAGCACATATACATAACTCTACAACTGGGTAATCAGGAGAATGTGCATATGAAATAAATATGCATACCTGTGTACTTTGCTATGACAGAACCTTGATACTTAAATGTTCTTAAGGTAAGAATAGTTTTGAGCTACTAAAAAAAAATGTGTACGGGACTCATTCGATAAGAAACATCCTTTTCAAGAGTTAAGAAAATAACACTTACAGCATAATTAAATTAACCTCCTCTGATTCACTTAAAGCTAACTTTGATCCTGTATACAGTATTGTAATACTCTATACTGTTAAAGTATGTTTTAAAGTTTCTCATCTGTGTGCACATTGAGAGCATTCTTTAAATGTCTGCCATTCATAAAGCTGCAAAACATGTATCAAAACAACTTCACAGATTCTTAAAAAAAAGTAACCAATGTGACTTCCTACTGGTATTCCGCCATTAGTTATAGGTGGGCAATACCTCAGACAGCTTTGCCAAGGAACAATGGACATGGGTCATCGCCTGCATCAGTGCTTCCCAGCCCTGGTCCCGACAGGTCTCTGTGCCTTCTGATTTTTGTTCCAGTCAAGTTAATCAAACACAATTTTCTGTTCAAGATGTATTTTTTCATTTACTTTCAGATCTTAAATGGCTGATAGAAATTAACACCCATCCAAATTTCTGAGTTGCTGTATTCAGGGGTGTTAGATGAAATGTTACCTCAAAAGGGAAAACAAAAACATTTGTTTAGGGAGTGATACGTTGATACTCCCACCAGTGATCACCATAAATTGTTCACCTATTAAGAGCTGACAAGACAGGAATGAGGAGAGGGCTCTTAATAAACAAGTTGGGACTGCACAAAGCTCTGTTTGGAAATATGGCTGGAACACTAAGTTGGAAGCTGGGTGTTCTTACTTTCAGTTCAGAAACATATAAGCAAAAGCCTAAACAAGCAAAAAAATCAATTATACCCCTACGTTAGCACCAGTGATTAAAGATCAGTCAGAATGTCAAGCACCAGGCACATGGATCACCCAGGACTAGGGCTGGGAACCACAGACCTACAGTACAGTACATGTAAAGAGTAAGAATATTAGAGCAAGGGTCCCCAGGTCTGGTCCTGGGGAGTTGAGGGGGGGGGTCAGTATGCCTACAGGATTTCAGTGAAGTTGTGCTATTAACATACTCTTAATTGCTCAACATTGACTTACTTGGACTATTTTAACAGATTCACTCAGCTCTTCAGGTGCTGAGGAATCCCCTTTTCCACGTAATTTACAATGACTTGACAAACATGCAGGCACTTTAGCCTTCCAGGATCAGGACTGGGAACACCTGTGTTAAGAGTCTTGGAAGATGCTCTTTTTCATAACAAAAAAGACTTTCGGAAACTGCATCAAAAAAGCGGACAGGAATGAAGGCAACTTAAGTTTCTCATATCTTTTCAGTGCCTTCAACCTGCACAGGCATTTTATACAATTCATGTCTAATTCTGACCTTTGAATCCCAGCAGAATCATTCCCCTAGCATACTGATATTCATTCCTAGTCCTGTATAGCCACTGTGCCTGCTGGCTTTCATTAAACTCAAAACCTTCTGGTACTATTTGAATTGATTGCTGTAGTTTACTACCGTTACCAGGTCTTCAGTCATTGACAATACCTATAAAACTTGGCGGACTGTGGTCCCTTGGACCAGGAGTGAATACCGACCGCTGTCCTAGTACAAACAGAAGGAAAGCGCAGGACCATGAAGACACTTCAGATACTTTCTTTGAAACATGTGTTTCCCTTTATTGGCTTGGTGAGGCTGATGAGAATTGCACATAAAAAATAAAATTCACAAGAAATTCATACAATAGGTAGAACCACAAAAGGTATTGGTAAGGAGCTGGCAGAAGGCAACGTGGATAAGACACAAACAGACGACACACTCCCCCTCCCTGCATATTGTCCTACCCAAAGAAACATGTTCACCCACAAACGTTAAAGCAGTGCTCTATTCCTCAGTTATTTGACATCATAAAAAAAAATGTCCACCACGCAGTTTAAATGTTGAATTGTCAGGTTTATATTATATTGCTACTCTAGGCAATTTACAAAGCCGATTTTATATTACAATGATTAAAGCCACATCTACCAAGTGGGACAGGACACCATTACCCAAGCTCCACACAGAAAAGAAAAACATCTATTTATAAATATAGGTATTTTTTCCCCCGCTAATAGTTTTGCCTTTTTGTATATTGGAAAAAAAAGAGCTATCACTTACACAAGTACACTTCATGTTAACTACATTGTGATCAACAAACTATAATACACATGATTGCTAGAAGTCCTGATTTATTCTGGGTTTCTAATTATCTGGGTACTCCATATAAGCAGGAAATTAAAATCAATTATGAGATTACCTTCTAACATTAAAGTCACTTTCCTACTGAGACCCAACTGAATAGAAGGAAGAACATGTAATATCGGTTCAGTGCTTTAAAAATTAATGGCAATACTCTTGAGTCAGATAGTGTTGCCAATGTGAATTGAATCCCGTGGACTGTCTCAATCTGAGAAAATTTAAAAATTGCGGGATGGGTTTGATTGTATTTCAGAGTCTGTATCAATTCTGATTGACAAAGATCAGCATCGGCAAATAATTACAGCAACTACGACTTACAAAGGCTGACCTATGGTGAGCACACAGACATACAAACCCAAACACGCAGAAATGCAGACATTCACGCATAGGGTTAGACTTTTTAACTAAAGCTAGTTCAAGACAAGAAACACTGTGTTAAGACACATTGGAATGGAATTCCTACAACATTTTTGTGAGACAGCTGGGTAATGTGTCTGGTCCAGAACCACACAACATAATGATCAGCTAAAATACAATTTTTAAAAAATAATTTATTGCTTTTTATTATTCTTATAATTATAACTTATCATTTTCATCATCATCATTATTATTATTCTTTTTTACAACAAAGAGAAGATTTAAAAATCCAGGAAAGAAAAATTGTAAACTTTTGTTTGGCGTTCACATAATCAAGCGCTGAAATACCTGTACTTTTTTTAAAACTACAAAATGATGGCAGGAGCAGAGTGTATTAGTACAACCAAGTACCTGTAAAAACCTTTTATTGCTTTATGACTACTTGTAAAAAAGAAAACTAATTCAGACACAAAAAGGAAGCTCTTCATAGCTGTAGACAAGAGACAACTTGGACCAGGGCTACTTATGCTGTGGAACACATCAGTCTTACTGGTTATCAAATAATTACAGAGCTTGATCAAGCAACACTTTGCAAAAAACTGCATTGGAAAGGCTGTAGGTTGAGCAGCCCTGCTTTAGAGACAACACACAGACCAACCGAAGAAAAGCAGATTTTTTTAGAGTTCCCCTTAAGAACTGATCTGTCGAATGCGCCAATCAGTTTTAAAAGGCATAAAAAAGAAGCAGCCTTAATATTTATGCATTGTACACTTTCTCCCCCCTGATATTATATTTCAGAATATAATTAAATAAAATAAATAGTCAATTTCATAAGGTTCTTCTTGTGTTGTGAAGACCATATAAATATTTTAATTAAAAATAAATAGATAAATAGGGCACTGGAAAAAATATCAAAAGATTTACTGTAGGTTTCACTGAAGAGGCTCTTCTCCAAAAGTGGTCAATGCATAAAAAATAGTACTGTAGTGATGTACAGGTATAGAGAACATGGATTTCAGATGCTTATCTACATATTTTATGCGTAATGATTCAGAATTAATGCATGTATGAGTGAAAAACAATGTTAAATTCTTGACCTCTTGAGGTCTTATATACAATTATGAAAATATACCTCAAAAAAAGTATTTTACACTGGTTGTACTGTATAGAGAAAAAAAAACTGACCATGAAACTTTAAAAACAGAACACTTATACAAACATTAGACATGGGTAACAACAACTTCTTCACCACAATCTGCTCAGACGAACCTTTGACTCCATCTCCCTAAAAAAAAATCACCCACACACATCTATATGCAATCATATAAGCACATCCTCTAAATATGACAGGGGACAATGTTTGTCTTGCTTCATTGTCATTAACTACAGGTCAACATTCTTGATTAAGAAAATTTCAGCATCATTGAAAAGAAGGCTGCATTGTACAGTGCATAGCTGTAACAAATAAAGAACTTTCTCAGATATGTACACAAAATAAAAATATTCCATATAATATCTGTAAATATACTACTACATTTTTGCCAAATGTAGGCGATAATGTTATCTGAAATACCCCCAACTCTTATTAGTAATGTAACACCACATCCACACATCAGATAAAAACAAAAAAAACTGAACAAGCTGCACATTTTTTACCAGTCACAAAGCTGTTGGTATTGTGGAACATGGAAGATCATCCATTCTATTATTTTTCTTTTTTTGTGAAGCACTGTATCTTTGTTCATACATAAAGATTTGTCGGCTCTCTGCATCGATAATGTCTCTTCTTGACTCTTCAGCAGCTTTGCTCATGTAAACTTCATTTTTTAATCTTTATTTTTTCATCGTACATAGAGTGTAAAACTTCTCAGTCTCAGCTGAAGGACAAAACATCCATGAGGTATTACGAATCCCTCTGTCAGTGGCAGGTTTGGTGCTTGTTACCTTCGCAGGCTGCGCTGTGCTTCTTTCAGCAAACTATCGAAATCCATGGAGTCATACTTGCTCTTTGTGGATGATGGATCAAAGTCATCAGAATGGGAATCTGAAGGAATGTTAAAGAATATCCATTAGTGACAGCAGTTTTTCAGAGTTGTTCATCTGTTCTACCACAATCACATTCTTGATACCTTATCTATAGCACAAAACATCAAAAAACAATAAGAGACAGTAAGAACTATCATGCTCATTTAGATCCATTTATTTATAGTCCCACAGCCAGCACTGGCTGTACTGAGAACAAATCCACCAAGGATAAAATTCTCTTAAACTGCCCTACCCCTGGGAAGAATTCAGAGTAGCAAAACCACTACTCTGGATAAAGGCAGGATACAGACCACCTACTGAAAAATCGCTTGAACAGTCAGACAACTCCCCACAAATAAGACACCCAAGTTGGAATCAAACTTGTGAGCCATGAGCTCAAAACATAGCAGTACTAACCATTCCGTCCCACAGAAATTAGATCCCAGTGAGACTTGAACTCACAACCCCAGATTCACAAGACCAGTGCTCTAACTCCTGCACCATGGCACCTTCTCTACAGATTTCAGGTCTAACAAAATGTCTCAGAATGATTTTGTTATGTTGCAGCATGAGTTATTTCTTTTCACAAACTTATTAAGCAAACTCAATTGCTAACCTGGCCTTGCATTGTGCTTAACTACCCAGGCAAGCATGACTCAAAATGGTTAAGCCGAATTTCTTTTAAAAGGATGGTTAACATCGTAATGACACTACGGTATTAAAAAGCAAAACTTGACAGACTTAAGTTTCTTCATTTATCTTCTTTTAGTGCTGCCCAGAAGCCATGGTCATTGTACTGGATCAAGGTGAGTGACATATTTACAAGGTAACTGTAAAGTAAAAAATTAGATTCTAAACTGTAAATGATTTATGCCACCACCAGTTTATTTTGTTATCCTTCTGTTTAGTGCTTTGGACAATGCATTTTACATAATTCAAAAGTGTGATGGGAAATAAAGCTTTTAACAGGGTACAAATGACAAACAGGCAAAATGAGAACCGTATATTTTGATTTGAAAGCTGATAATAAATAACAGTGTCTTATCTTCTTTGGCAGACAGCTTCACAAATAGGATGCCACACAGGCAACAGCACAACTTAGAAAGCATGAGAAATGAGAATGACCATGGTATGCACAAGATACCAGTTGTTATGTAATGTGATGCCCAAGGGCTGGATTGTGCCGCACAGTGCACCTTGAAGAATGAAAAATATACCAGCCCTAAGCCCAGAACTAATGAGCGGACTCTTGCAAAACAGGAAAGGAGTAGGGAATGAGAAGTCTAAACAAACAGCATTTTTCACATTGAGCATTTTTCTATCCCTCTTTTGAGAAATAAAACCACTGCAGGTTAGAAATATACTGAAACTACACGTCTGAACATTTCAAAACTGCTATATGACTCGTAGGAAATATAAGTGATATTGCAACCTACTATTCTACATTCCTTTCTCATTAACTACTAACAAATCATTATGATACCTTTAATATAAGGGACAATTCTTTTCCTTACTTGATAGAAAACAACCAGACAATATATGTCGAAGACTACCAGCTTTTGAGTGAATGAGAAATTCAGGTGTTACTACAGTCTCACTCCAGAGCACCGGTTAACCAAAATAAATAATGTCACTGTGTTTCAGGTTTAAACAGTAGGATTCAGGACTCCTGACTGGAGAATCAGGGGGGTCAGGTCATTTACAAATTACAAATTATTACTGCACATTTCCTGCTGTACAAATGTGTGCCCGGTACAGTTAAAGTGAATTTGTTCTCAATTGGCTTCAGCTGTAAAATAACGAGATTAAAAAAAGGGACCAACCAAAATTAATGGTACTTCAATTTTGGGGAGCCCCAGTATGGACCTAAATGTTGCAAAGCACTGGACCAGCTGACTAGGTACTTTTACACGGCAGCCAGTTTTCTCCCTTCCAGTTTCAATTTAAAAGACAAAGCCTTCTGAGCATTGTTGGAATTTGATTAAAAGATCCTCAAGTTTAATCAGATATCTTGCCTGTTACACAGCATAATTATCAAAAGTCAATACACCATGTGCTAATAAAAGCAGATAATGCTTGGTTTGTAAACCACTGGCACATTAGAAAACCACAGAATACAGAGGTTTCCCAAGAACATATAGAATTTAAGGAATAATTGACTATCACAAAATAGGCATTGTCCTTAACATTTTGTCTCATTTGCTCTCAGCAGCAAATTCAAATATATCTCACAACCTCTTCTTATCCAGCTCCTTATAAAAGAACAGGGGAAAGTTTTTCTATTTTTCAGGCTTTCATCTTTGGCATTATGTACCGAAATACTTCAATTTTGCCAAAGCACTGAATTATTTATTGTACATGCTGTGTACTGAACTATGGCTTATTCATTCTGATCCTACGTGTTATCACAGTGTCAGTTTTATTTGAACAGGAAAGTGGACAGTCCCGTCTTGAAATTTAAGGTGGATCGCTTAAATTCATAATCTTTCATATTGTACATGTATCTGTTTTGGACCCAATTAATGTAACAATTAATGTACTCTAAGGAAATATATTTCTCAGCCAAAATAAATAAGGAACCCTTTAATGAAATTCACATAACTCAACACATACAAGTGTAATCCTAGGGTTACTCTTTTGAAAACTGTTTCTGCTTTTCCAGTGCTTTTGCACTTGAAATATTTATTAGGAATGTAAAAATACACACACACACACAAAGGAAGGACCTTTTCACGCCTCATGATTTGCCCCTATGGAAAAGTTCAGAAGCTCCATATCTGTCCTTATTCCCAAGATTTAAGCTACACTAACATCCTCCTCCACCTCCAAGTAAAAGGTCAGGGACTTCTATTTGATTGCAATATATTGTAGCCTTTCCTGAGATTTTTATTAAATGAATGGGTCCCCAGGAAAATGCTTTACTGCATTGCAAAGGCACTTATCTTTGCATATCTATATTTAGTTTTAGTTGCAGGCCATTTTATAAAATTACCCTTACCCAAGTCTGTATAATTTGATTTGCAGAACTGCTTTCGTCCACCGAAGCACAGCTCAAACTGAGGTTCATTAGATCTGCGTAAGGTGTGTCCATTTTCCAGAGCAGCAAAAGCATCACAAGTGTAGCGGTAGGTGATGAAGCCAAAATTATCCCTAGAACAAGAAAAGAAGGACATCACTGTATTGGAAGGGAGTTAATCTCTGAAAAGCCATATCCTGGCTTTTTTGTATCACTGTAGATTTGTTTAATGATGAAAAATGTCAGATGATAACACAGATGATACACTTATGACAATTTCAGTTGGAGGCTACAGTAGGTGAGGGTTTTCTTAACTGTATAGTAAATATTCCTTTACTATAAAAGGATTTTTTTTCTGTCCTTGATTTTGTGTTTTAGAAATATGCCATCACACATACTGTAGGGAGTACAAAATACAATTTGCCTTCTTGGATACAAGCTTCCTTTCCAAGTTTCAACAGACGGCTGGTCAGGAGACATACATAAATGAATGGAGTTTCATGGAATTCATTTTTTAACACTGTCCACAACCACTGAGTCACCACCCTCAATTCATACCCGTCATCTCTCAAATTGACTGCACACTCTTCGATTTCACCAAACACTTCAAAGCGGCGCTTCAGTTCCGTCCGGGTAATGTCAGGCCTTAGTCTTCCCACATACACCACGCGTCTCTCCTCCTGAAGATTAAAGGAAAACCAAGAGGAATTACAAAGGGAGCCTTTTTCACCATAGTCATCATCAATAACTTCTAGAGTAAACTGAATTACAAAAGGACAGCCAACAAAACTACAGTAGAAGCAATTTGTTGGAAATATTAATCTCCTTCCCTCATCTCATATAATGTGAAAGTACCTAACTGCAGAATGTGTACACTGAGGTGGACCTGTCTGCTTTTTAACTGAAAATTTCTAGCCTGGTAATTTCTAACCAAAATTGGAAACTAATTAAGAAGTTAAACTAGGAATCTTAGGGTATCCAGTTAAAAGCTTAGGGGGATGGTACATTAAAATTGTACAATGGATTAGTAAGACCTCATTTAGGAAAGAGTGTATATTTTGGTTACCGTATTAGAAAAATATTCAACTGCTCTGGACTCAGTCCAGAAAAGAGCAGCAATATTAATCCCAGAACTTTAAGGAATGTTATACATTGACAGACTTTTAGTTTTTAATGGAACAGATTATGAGGGAATCCAACTCAAATATTCAAAATTCTCAAAGGCATTGCCTATGTCCAATGGACTTCAGGATCAGCAGTGACAGTTAAAAGAGGACACAAGTGGAACCTACAGTATAGTACATTTAAAGCGGCAATCAGGAGCTTTTTACACAAAGAAATGTGGGGGATCAGAAACAGCCTAACCAGCCATGTTGTTGAAACTGATCATCTGCTTTCTTTCAAGGCACAGCTGATCAAGATCGGTAATCAATTAGTTACTAACAACCAAACAGGCGACAGTAGATGGCCTATTTTTATACTTTCTTACAGTACATGTTCTTTCATTACGATCTTGAAAATGAAGAAACTAAAACTTCCATTCAACCACTCTGGCTTTGTGCAGTCTGGTTTATGGAAAAGCAAAGAGTCCATGGGTACTGTGTTAAATCTAAGAAAAGAAGTCAAAAGTCCTGTTGTGACTCATTATACGATAGATGGCTATTTTGAAGTGTATATCAAAGGAATTCATCTTCAGTAGCTAATACAAAGAATTAAGTTCTCCCATTTCCTTAAAGCAAAGACTTAATGGAACTTTTCTTGGCTGAGACAGTCAGTAAGGGGTGACTAATTCCTACATATTCAAGAATTAGGATTGCTAAAAAGAACAAAATAAAAGGAAACAACTCACAAAAAAGGGAAGTTTGACACAAACAACCACCCAACAAGCCAGAATATTATACAAGCTGTTCCTTGAACTACAACAAATTAAGGTCATAGTTTGAAGTTTTAAAATATTGGCATTCTTAATGTGGCAATTATGTCTTTCAAACAACTGTAATTCTGCTAATTATTTAACCCCCGGCTACTTTTTTTACTGCTATGATTATTTATTCATTCATTCATTTGTCATTAATGGTATAGGTCCACTGAGATGCTATCTAATTTTCAAAGGCATCCTGAGGGTACAGGTAACACAGGATATTATGCCAAAAAACGATTAATTTTCTCGACTCTAAAATTAAAGTTCATCACTAATTACACTAACATTAGCTAAACAGCATGTGTGTACAACTTCCCTTAATATAACTTTAAACGGGAGCGCTAAATGAGAAGGGAATTAGAAAGAAGATACATCTATTTAAGAATCTGTTGATTCCATCCAGAATGCCAAGATCATTTCTTACTAGCTGCCACACACTTTCATGAGTGTTGCAGTATATCTCTTGGTTGCTTAACATGCCATATAACTTTTCCATCAAAAGCAGCTTAGGAATTAGGGTGGTAATATTGATCTTATACTGATTTTCAGCAAGGGTTTCATGGATGGTGTTACTTTTCCTCCCCTGTACACGTACTTGCATTCAGGCATGATAAATCTTTCAGAGAAGGGCTAAAAGATAGTCACAAGGGGGATTAACATAAGCTGAATTACAGAAGACTGTGTACACGACAGTAGGGTTTGTGAATCCTCGCACCAAGGTAACAAAGACTCAACACAAAGCTCATTTTGAATTACAACGTTTTAATTTCCATGGATAGGTGTTATCATCAAGTAAAAAAAAACGTACAGTAGTAGCGACTTTTTTGCATTTTGAACTTTTTTCTCAATTCCATTTGATTTCAGGAGCAAAAACCATTCAATGTTGCTATACCGCAAGAGTGATATACTGTAGCTAGTGCAGCAGGAGAGCACTGCCGGTTCAATGCTGTAGATCAACTTTGTTGCCCAGCTAAGAAAATCTCATCTTGAACAATGGCTTTCTATGCACAAGAAGTGACTACCATTCCAAATACAGAATCACAGGTCTTATGTCAGGAAAGAAATTACATGGAATTTAAAATAAACAGTAGATAAAATGCTGTTTTCAGTTTTCTTTCTCCCAAATAGAAAACACATGTAAACAAATCAGCAGATTTTGATCTGATACCTTTGTGCTGCTGCTTGTTTTTGTTTCCTTTGACCCAGAGGAATGCGTTAAGACCGCACTACTTTTTAGTTTCTATGATTAACTCGCCACTTTCTTTCCTTTTGACTTCAGCAGGTGCAGCTGTGATGCACAAGTACGGTTGGGTTTTTTTGTGTTTTTTTAGCATTTTTGCTAACATTAGCAAGTCATCTGTACATGACTTGACAACGTTTATTTGTCATAGGGTGTTTTATTTCGGGATGTGTTTCATCTTACATCAGAAAATGGGAAGAAGGATTAAATTCACAGAGCGCTGCTTAAATGCATTCACCTTATTGAATTTCACATGTTAGTGGGATCCTGCACGAATCTTGCTGTTCTCCAATAATCTTATTTAAAGAGCTACTCTTTTCATATTTTTGCTGCATTTTTCCTTAAGTGTGATTAATAATATCTGTCATTTCCCAGACAGACATTTTTTTTAAATAAGATAAAAGGTAAATGTGTAAGTTAAATAATTCAGTGACTCACATTACATTTATTCAGTCATTAAGTAGTGTACTTGCATGATTTCAGATTATGTCTGTCAGGTGTCCCCTCTCTGCATGAGAAAATGTGACTTATGAGAGAGCAAAGCAGGCAGTATTAATGCATAGTTGCTATAGAAAGGCAAATTCACTCAAATGTTTTCACTTTATGATAACTCACAATTGCCTTTTGCCTCTGCCTCTCTCTCTGTTCGGCTCTTTCAAACTCGCGTTTTTCATAATCTCGTCGATACTCCTCCCTCTTAAGTCGCTCATGTTGGTACTCCTCGTAGCTGTCGTACCTTAAGAAGAAGAACAGCACATTAAACTGTGCAGTAAATTCTCCATTTGGTGCTCTGCCGTTTCATATTTTCAGTAAGCAGAAACATAAAATCAACGATCAGTGATCAAAAGGCAAACTGTTTCACTTCATCCATCCTTTCATTTTCTAATCCACCACAGGCTCATGGGTGAACTAGAGCCTATCCTGGCAAGCAAGAGGCACAAGGCTGTGTTTTTAAATTCCCATCCAGGCTGAATACACCCTGGATGGGACGCCAGTCCATCTCAGGACACACACAGACACAAACATGCTCACACCAGGGCCAATTATCCCAGAAGCCAATTAACCTACTGTACCAGTAATGTCTTTAGGATGTGGGAGGAAATTGGAGCACCTGACCGGATCCCATGCAAACACAGGGTGAACATACAAACTTCACTCACACAGCACCCTAGGAAATGAGCCCAAAGCAAAGCTAACCACTGCACCACCACACTGCCACCTCATTTGCTTCATTACTTCAAAAATATTGTTTCCCATATAAGGCTAACTTAAAATATAAACCAAAAAATTGCATTTTCTCATTGAAAAGACAATGACTCCCACAAGATGAGACAACAGAAATTGGTTTTACTCTAACAGATGCAATTGTCAGCGAAATGTCACATTTCATTAACTCCTGCTTATTTTTTTTTTATTCAAAAGCAACTGCAGAAAATCCTTCAATATTCTATTCACTTTGCAGCTGTGCACTTAGCAACCTAAATTTGGTCATTTGAAATTATTTTGTTCACTCGGTCAGCCAGCTTAATTGTTTGCAATTAATAAAATAGATTTTTTAGGTTTGTAAATAATAAAAAAACAGCAAGCAGAAAACATGCAGTACTTTCTGTGAAAGGCAAGTGGCAAGTAGCTTTCAGTGTAAAAGACATTATGAACTATTCACTGCTGCTAATAAAAACCTCACAGCCAGCAAACAGAAAAAATAGCCAATAAGAATAGTTGAGTGTGGGAGTGGAAAACGACTTTGACAGCACTTGTAAAGCTCTTAAACAGTCAGAGCTGGTCTATGAGTCATGTCTGCATCAACAGACATGAACTGAATAATTAAAAATAGAGAAAAAAAGGAACTTTGGAGTATTTGTGATACAAAACTGTGGTCACGGGATGTTCATTTTAGATTGAACTTAAAAATAAACTGTTTGGGGACTAGAAAGAAGACAATGACACTTGCAGAAATCATTTCACCTAACAGGTCAGTTTAAATTGTCTTTTTTTACTTTTAATTGTTTTATGATTTTGTTTAATTTTGTACTACCAGTTTAGTTGTGTCTGCTGTTATTGAATCATTTTGTCTCATTCTTGGTTAATTGCTATAATTGTTTTTGCAGAATACAATGAGGGCCACACTTTATAACAACATTTAATAAGCAATCTGTATTAATAAATAATGAAAATGTATCAAAGCATTATATATACAGATACTAACTGCCCTAGATGTAACCTTAATACAAAGGTTTATTTCCTGTGACTCACATCTTGTCTCTGTTTGTACTGGATTAAAAACATTTAACAGGTGGCCTTTTCTCCATTCTCATTTTTGTTTTCCTGGAAGATAAACTTAAAAATGAATTCAGAATTATATTAATTATGGTTTAATAAGCCATTATCCATCACCTGGTAATGTTGCATATATTGTTACTAACAGTTATAGATATAACCTTATTCTAAAGGGAGACCATGAGAAATTCACAGGATTTGCAGTGACAAACTGTGGCATGGACAGATAGCAATATTATTAAGATTACATAAAAGAAATAACACAACAGATCAGAGTAGGGGTTTGCCACTCTTAAATCCCATGGTCTGTTACTAGAAGTTTCTTAAACCTCTAACTATTAAATTAATGCTAAAAATGATTAGAAAAGAGAAGCGTGTACAAGACCCTGGTAACAAACTACCTTTGCAGCTACAGACTGAATGCATTTGATTACTGTAACTCTTTAGAAACGGCAGCTGCTGCCTCCTAACCAACTTGCAAAAGTCATTTTATTAGTGTGACAAATCTAAGCAGAAAGAATTAAAAGAACTGAAAGACACGAAATGGATGGCAGCAAGAAATGATGAGAAAATATGATTGTATGTAAATAAACATAGAACTGGAATAATTGCAAAAAAGGAGCTTTTCTGGTCTTTGAAGTTCACGTAGATAGCTGCGTCAGGTTTATTTCATGCTGAAAAGAGAAGAGAAGAAAAGAAACACAAAGTTTCGGCCATAGAGCTTTGACAACTAGGACTCCTAAAGAAGGCTCCACAGCCAAAACTTTGTGTTTCTTTTCTTCTCTTTTCAGCATGAAATAAACCTTTACTTGTTTCTCTGGTCTTTGACATCCAAATTCATGCATTAAAGGAGTAAAGAGATTGATCTAGAGCTGGAACATCTGAAGACAAATGTAACAACCAAAAGAACTGTCTGAAAGAATAACTTAGATCACCTTGGCCTCCGACTGAAGGGGGATCTAGACTGTGATCTTGAATGTATGGGTGGGCTTCTGCGAGACCTTGGTCTAGTGTTGCTGGAATCCACACAGTGATGAGACCTTAGAAAACAAAAATTTCAATGTTGAAACAGCTCATTCAGGAGTCTGTACAAGTGGTCCCTACTCAGTCAACCCAACTCAAAACTTTCTGTGAAAAGGGCTTTTTCCTTTTAGTTCATACAAAAACTATGTACTATACAGTACATTATGTCAGTTTCAAATATCCCCTTGAAAGATGATAATTAGCGTTGAGTGATGTTCAACTGAACTGGGGCATAATTGTGAAAATGGCTCAAAGGAAAGTGACATGAAAACAACATTAAATTGTTTACAGTTTTGTTTAAAGACAAAGACTGTGTACTTTGTCTTTAACAACAGAAAAGACTCATGTTGGAATTAATATTAATGAAGACTAAAAGACCAAGTGGGTATTCCAATGTACTGCATAACAAAACCTTTTACTCAGTACTTTTAACCTTCCACCACATGGCAGTTTACTTAAAACTGCCTGAATTTAGAAGACACTTCTTTATGCAAAGGGTTGTGATATTTTGGATCAAACTGCCTTGTTTTACCCTGCTTCTTTAAAAAATGGCAGTATGGGAATCATTTGATCTATTACTAAATACTAAATGGGTTACATTATTGTTTAAAACTGTTATTATGCTATTGTGTTTAAAATTTATTTGTCATCTTTTGAAGGTCTATAGTCCAACATATTTGAAAGAATAGAGACTGAGTGTGGTGGTTAATATAGTATAAGATCTTCTGGGTTAGTACTGTTACAATCTCTGTAAAATTTAATCTAAATTTAAATGAAAAATAAGTATTTCTGCCTCTTACACAAGCTTCTACAAAATAACAGAACATACTGTATAACTAAGAGGGCTCCTATTGAAAAACACAAGCTGGTAATCTTAAGCCTTTTGCCATCTTAAAATATTTGTAGAACGAAATACTTTATAAAACTGAAATAGATATTGCACTAGACATGAGATCATGTGTGGCTTAATATTAAGGATTTGATTCAGAACCATGAAGGTGTTTTCTTATAAAAGTTGCACTGTGGACTTCAGGGAAAAACAGGGTTCAAGTAATAAAATTAAATATACAAGGGATGAAAATGAACGGCAAATATGTACAACCAATTACTGAAAAGCACACGTTTATTTCTACTTACTCTCAGATGTGTGGAAAACCAAAATCTGTACTGATAGCCATTAAAATACAACAAATTAGTTCTAGAATAAACAGCATTTGTTGCATTTTTAATCCTTCTCGGTATATAATTAGATGAAACTTGAGACAGCTTAAGAAACCCATTTTCACCTCTGTCACTAGCACCTTTTTAAATTCCATAGCTTAATCACTGAATTGATCAAGCCAATGATTCAATAAATAATAATGAAGATGGCCATGGGAAATCTCTAATATTAACTAGTTCCACAGGTTACTGGGGGTTAGAAAGATTGAAATATATTTGATATTTAGCAAAGATCTGATAACGATTTTATCACAACTCCATTTACTTTTTGTACATGTGGGTGTCATGTCTTAGTCATACTGTACATCTGGTTAATGTACATCCTGTTGAGACTAAAAATGCAGCCCTAATTAAACTCTAGATATTAAAATTAAAACATCCCAAAATAGGCTTTTGACTTAATGAGTGGTAACTGAAACCTGCACAGACATGTATTTAAAAACACAAACAGAAACATTAATAGACTTCCAGCTTTTCTATATAAAGAGAATAATCACAACTTTAATTACAAAAATATTAAAAATAGGAATGCCAGAAAGAGAATTCTTACAATTTTGTGTAGTTCCTTTAAAAATTATTTGTCTTTATGTTTATTGAGCCGAGAAAAAACCTACAGTAAACAGGAAAGCCTTTCAGACTTTGTGTCTTCTGACATTGCTGTTCAACTGCTTGAAATTGTAATTAGATGAGATGGAAGATAGGTTTAAACTTCTATGGAATAACCTTGATGAATTTTACTATATTTTTAATCAAATCCCATTTTTCTCCCATCTGTAACCATTGTTCTCTGCAAACCTCTGCTGCTGTAAGTGTCTTCAAAGTGGAAAGAGGCCAGGACTTCAGAGACAGTGATTTACCTTTCATCTACCCAGACACAAACAGCAAGCACTGATAAGCAAAACAATAGCTGTTCCGAAAACCCTCATCATAAAATATAGATGTATATAAATGTGAGGGAAACTATATGCACGGTTGAGCAGACATAACTAAAGAATCTCAAACAATTTGCAAACAAGACTTTCCTCCTCTTCTAACTAAGCTGGACCTGGTGATTTTCAGCATGGTGATAAACCCACACTTTACTTACATAAATAAATAATCCTTACACTTATTTAGTAGTTTTCTCAACACTCCACTCAAAGCATTTTATAGGTAATGGGGACACCCTCCACTACCAATGTGCAGCACCCCTTGGGATGATGCGACGGCAGCCAAAGTGTGCCAGTACGCTCACTGCACATCAGGTATCATTTGTGCGGAGAACAGAGTGATGAAGTCAATTCATAGATGGAAATATTAGGAGACCATGACTGATAAAGGCCAGGGGGAAATTGGACCAGGACACCATGGTAATACCCTGGGATTTTGTCATGACAAGAGTGCCACTTTTTTACAGTATAATGTTCCCATCACTGTAGTGGGGCATTAGGGCCCACACAGACAGCTGGGTCAGCACTTCCTACTGGTCCCACTAACATCTCTTTCTGCTCAACCTTCAACTTTCCCAGAAGGTCTGGCAGGCTCACACCTGCCTAGCTTCAGTGGCCAGTTGTGAGTTGCCAGATGACATAGCTACTGCCTATATGACATGAAATGGTACACAGTATTCTCTTCTCTGTGACGTTCACACTTTCTTACCGTGAGGAGGACCGGCTGTAGGGGGACCTTGATCTGGAGCGTGAGTAAGGAGATCGGGAGTAAGACCGCCGCCGGTGGCAAGACGAAGATCGCGACCGGGACCTGGAGTGAGACGCTGACCTGGACCAGTGACAGCGCTGGGAAGAGAAGAGGGATTTGGGAGGGGAGACAGAGCTCCTTGAAGGGGAGCAACTGGAAGGCGAACAGGATGGAGAACCCCCAAACAACAAGTCCAGGTGGGTCCCTTCCCAGGGGTAGAGAAACTTCTCGTTCTCATCCTCGCTGTCGTCGAAAACCCCTTCCATGGGCAGGCCTGGGTGCACGTAGTCAGTCAGTTTGTAGTAATATTCAGAGTCACTTTCATCTCTCTGCTGGGGGCCAGCCTTTTCATCCTCATTGTAAATGGCTTGTTTTGGGTTACCAAAGTGCTTGTTGAGTTCCGCCCTGATCTCTTGGTCTCGGAGCGGCTTCCTGCTGTTAGCCTGCTGCCTGTTTTGATATGTCTGCAGCTGTTTGCCTTCCCTGTTGCACCAGAGGTCCTGGTCAGGCGAAGAGTAATTCTGCTGCTGCACAGCCAAAGAGGAGGGAGACAAGACCAAGTCCCAACATTCCAGTTGCCTCCCATCCTGAGATTCCACTGAGTAGGCCAGGGAAATGTCTCTTTTTGTGCTTACAAACTGGCAATAATCGTGATCACCAAACAGACGCAGAGTGGAGCGCTTGCTTTTGCGGTCCTCCTGCCCTGCAGGTAATGCAGAGACTTTGCTAAGCTGGGCATACAACTCAGTCTGTTCTGGACCCTTTTTGATAGAGGGGCAAACAGCAGAATCACTGTAGTGAGGTCTTTTACTTGCTTGAGCTGAGGAGCTGCATGAAGACAACTTGGGCTTGACTGAAGGTTTGAAAGGATTTTCTTGAGTGGCCTTGTGTGGAGGAGTGGTAGGTGGTGTCAGACCTGAAAGAAAACAAAATAATACGTTAAAATTGTTCAAATAAATTTAACCAAATGAACTGTTAAAATCAACAAAATAGTATATAGCACGACATAAAAATGTGCTAAAATAATCACTTTCATTCCATCTATGGAAGAGCCTTAATATTTTGCAGTTTCACCAGATTAATGTAACACTCAAGTGCTACACCCATTGCTGACCTTACAAAATCCTTATTTAGGAATATAAAGGCACTAACCACCAACAGAAAGGATTAAATCCTTGATTACAAGTTGTGCTTGTATCATGAAAAGCAAAAGCCATTAATGTGATCAAATACGGTGGATCCCATCCAATTGTATTATTTGTTTAGCTTTTTTCATTTCCCAAAAATATATTATTTTCAGGTCTTTTAAACTGCTTTGAAAAACTAATTGTTTTCAAATCAAGCCTTGGAGTCAAGTGAATTAGTATGCCACAGTTAAAAAGCAAAAATGTTATTATACCCGTAATGAAACTGTAGTGACTGTCGGATCCTGTCCCCATTCCCGGTGGAGTCTATAGATTTCTCGCTTTCCCTGAAACCTAGCTGCTCCTGACAGATTTATGTGGAGACAGATGGCCATTACATGCGAGATTCTGACAGGTAGCAGTTTATAGCATAGTTAATGCATTTGCACATACAACCAGCAATGCAGGTCTTCTAACAGAATGAAATTCAGGCAATTTCTTTTTTTCTTTTATTACTGTTTTTCTTTTGTGCAAAGGGTTTGCAGTAAATAGCAACAAATGGCTGCCATTAGTGGAAATGTAATTGGTGTCAGACAATTCCACCTACACAAACAATCAGATGCTCTGCTCATATTTCAGCCGGGCTCAGTCACAGCTTTATTTATTAGTACTGCACTGAAATGCGCAGTAAAGGAAAGGAAAAGTTCTGGCAAGAACTTCTGTTTCTCTACCGATACGCCATCTGTGCAAACAAACTTACTAGGTCATAAAACAGAGACCCCCCCCCCACAAAAAATTAGATTACTATATGTTTCTTAATCATAATGGCTTCTAACTAATGCACACACACAAAAAGTAATAGCTTTGGGGCCAGAGGATTTTTTGTTTTCGAAGGTAGATCTCAGGCAAATAATTTCATGGACTGTGCTACACCAGATGTTATTTATGAATTGCAGTCTGAGGATAATAGCTCCTAGCTTGAAAACTTAGCTTCTCAGAATTGTTAAAGACACTGCTTTGGTCATTTGTGATAATATGAAATTTTAACTGAAATGATTACAGATGAGAGAAGTATTTTCCTAGATTCTAAAGAGATGTTACAATAGAGACAAGATCGTTAAATCAATATACCCCACTATAGACCGGTTCTTCTCAATTAAACCTAATCTATTTTAAGGACACCATAGTACATACCAAGAAAAATATTTCTGCACCAATGCCAAGAGCATACAATTTTTAAAATACTAAAAACAAGTCTCAGAATATTACCAGCCTGTTTAGCACTGTCCACAGGATGCTGGTTGGGTTGGAACCTGCTTCTGTTGGTGTCCTCTTTATCCACTTTAGCTATGTGGGTTTAGCACAATATTGAGCCACATGTTACAGAATGATAAACCATCTAGAGCATATGTGAACAAAGCAAGATGAAACAGGAATCTTACTGGCAGTATTATTCTGCATAAAGGACTGCTTTTTCCAAAATACATTTCATCCATACATTCATTTTCTAACCTCTTCACTCAATGCAAGATTGGAGGAGGGCCAGAGCAAGGAACAGATTCAAGGCAAGACACACCCTGTGAAATCAGTCCATCACAGGGCACACAAACATGTACACACACACATCAGCGCCAGTTTACCCAGGAGTCAAATATCCTACCAGTATGTCTTTGGACTGCGAGAGGAAACCAGAGTACTCTTACAAACACAGGGAGAGTATTCAATGAACTCAGGCCTCTACAGCTGTAAGGCAGCAATGCTAACCACTGTGCTATCCCCAAAATAAATTGATAAAATGATTTGTATCAATGCATTAATGTATTAATTAGTACTGATAGTGTATAAATTAGCTAAATTTGAACAAAGCTGAACTTTGAAATTAATATAAGAATCCAAGATTGGATTGAAAACAAAAATCTATAATTACATTAATAAAGTGAGGCACTGAAGCAGTTGTGGGAGTTTTTTCTCTTTCCAATGTTTTACTACAAAGAATGGTATTCAGTTTGATACGACAGCTACATGTGGGACTGTTCAGCCATTCTGGAATCACGCCCAACCATGTTATCAATTATAATATCAAGTACTTGACATTTTATCTTAACTGAGGCACCTTTCTGGATGAAACATTTTAACATGTTTGTAAGATTTACAAAGATATTAATGGCATTGTATAAATTGATTCTAAAGTTTAAACAACCATACTCTTTACTTTCCTTCATCTGAAAAGTGTTTTAGTAGATTGTTATTCTACAACACTCAGATAAGGTTCAGAGGCTGGGGATATTCTTATTAACTGTGGCTAAAACGTAAAAGTAAGGATTTAGCACTGCTTGACTAATGTAACAATTCAAAGACGGGTTGTTTATGTGCTGGATTCTATTGATGGTACAGGTACAATCTACAGTGCTCCCCAAAAGTATTGAGTAAACCAGTCAAAAATGTTCTTTTGGCTTTACAGTCAATTTTTACTTGTAATCATGATATTAAAATGAATAAGCACAATAGAATATACCCTTATTTTGGGTAATTCCATGCATACAAAAATAATATTAAAACAAAACCATACTTACAGTTCAGCCCAATGATTTCAAGTGGCCATAATTATAGGAACATATACACGTAAAGAAAATTTCAGTGTAAACGTCAGTGTTTGGATGCATATCACTATGAGGCAATAACTGCATTAATTCTATGGCATAGTGAGCTTACTAAGCTCTGTGTAACCATTAGATTTGTTTGCCAAGCCTTTGCTGCAGCATTATGAATTCTTGCCTTTTCTTATGGTGTTGCGCCTTTTTTTTTCTTCAGCGAAAAAACACACACTCCATTGGAATTAAATCTAAAGATTTCCTTCTGCTTCATAATTGCCTGCTTTTCTTTAACAGATGTCTTTTGTCCTTGTCCCATCCCGCACAGTCTGCACAAGCATGTGCCTGTTCACTGGTCTCGAAGCCCTAGATGCCACGTCATCCCAGCTCAATGTGGCTCAAGTCTGGCTAGAAGACAATCCACAGCATGTTGCATTCTTATTTTGCAATAAAATCACTGTTAAATGAGCATCATGAGACTTTTTGGTACTGTACATGCTGGAATATTCTCAGAATAGGAAAAATCCACAAGAAGGGCAGTGAGGTTCCAGAACTACTGTACAGGCAGTCCCTGTGGCTGAAGTTCTCTAGAGACTTTCCACTCCACTCCAGACAATCACACTTGTGGTCTCCAATATTGCACCCCATCATCATTCTGTTTGGCCGCAAAGTCCTAGGGCTGGAGCATGCCCAAGCAACTGTGCTCCAGCATTTAACATACTGATGGCACAAAGACATTCTCTTGATAAGAGATAAGAGGGTGTATATTGGGTCCTTCCTTGAATATGCACTTCTTTCTTGATTTTCACTGGGTTTCAAAATCAACAATTCAAATTACCTCATCAATTTCCCCAAGTCTCACTAATGAGGTAATTTAAGTGGCTATGCAACAGTTAAAGCACTTAAATATATTATGGTCAGTCATGAAAACCCAATTAATCAAAATGAGGCCAAAAATATTTAATCAATTCACCTGTATATCCTATTTATACCATACATAAACAGGGAGGAGCTTAGTGGGATATTCTGCATAAATTACTTATTTTCTTGTATATGTACAAGATATCTTGTACTAAAAGTGAAAATTGTTTTCAGAGGAGTTTGACACGGGAAATTAACTTAATACCCTAATCAAATCACAAGACCTACCCGATATAATTGCGTTTTCCTGATATTATCCCTGTTCAGTTGCAGATGCAATTAAAAATAATACACTGCACTGCCCACAATGTAGCAAGTAAGTGAATACACTGTAGAATGCAATTCAGAAAACCTAAAGGCCCAAATAAAACTCAAAAGCGATACCTTCAGGATGGCTCTAAACTCACAAACAAATAAATTCATGTTTACTAAAGGTTAAGTCAACTACGGGAACTCATGAACCCTTACATCCTATGTCAGCCCCTCTGAAATATCGCCTAAAGATGCTGATGTGAAAGAGAGATTGTGACCCAAAATGGAAAAACAAAAAAACCTGTAACAATAATTAATCTCCTCTTTTTCAGAGCTTTGTAACTGTGTATTTTATCTATTGTTGCTTGATTCAAAAGATTACTTATGCAAGAAAACATACTTCTATAGATGTTTTATATACATGTATATACATACACTGTAGGTCCAACATACAGTATATTAAAATGGTTAAATTCAGATTACTTAATCTCTGTCCAAAACCATGTACTCTGTCCAAAAAAAAACAGATGGCAGTTTTTCAGAGACAAAGAAGCTGGTAAAGGCAAAATCACAAATAAAAAAAGAATGCATTTTTTTCTTACCTGCTGTTCCAGAGAGCTCCACACTCAATGTCCGTTCAATGCTTTTGTTCTCAAATGGAGATCCTTTTTGGTCACTGAAACACAACACAAATTTTTTTAAATATTTTGGAGAGAAATGGAATTGTTGGATTAAATGATTATAAAAATGGAAATGAAAGGGAAAAGATGCCTCATTTTTCTAGAAAAATGTTTAAAAACTCTCTCACTTACTTTGGAGACTCTGGGGTCAAAGGAAGTGGCAAGGTGGTTGGTTTGGCTGTAGAACACAAAGGAGCATGGGTAATTATTTAACTAAATCACATTATTTTAGTAAAAATTCAAATCCATACCTATAGATTAATTTTATCATTAACAGCACTGTCTATAAACCCAACCAGTAAAACAACTGTACTTTCTACAGTTCTTAATAATATTTTGCAACTAGACCCCATTTTTTTCTGAACATTTTCTATGAGGCAGGATGGCGTAATGGCATATGCATTCTGATTCAGAGTTCCTCAGACTGCTTAGTCTGACAGAAAATCAAGACAAATGTTGCACACTGTATTCCAGGAAAACCCGAGGAGAACATTTTAAAAGTAATTTTGCATGCAAAGAACCAAAGCAGAATGAAAAAGAAGAGCAAGGGAAGCAACTTGCCCAGAGCTATGATTATCTCCAACTGCCACTAAGGAATGCCTTTCAGTTAATCGACTATGTCATTACAGTAACATACATCTGTCAACGTTAAACATTCAACATGGTCTAGACAGAAATGGGTTTACTTAAAACTGCCTTGCACAGGGCACAGAAAATTTTCTTTCAATTAAGGCTACACAATGACTCTGTTCTAAGATCTACATTTCACTTCTTTGGAAATTACTAATCGTGCCTATTAGGATGATGATTGTCTGGCATTTGTAAAATAAGGCGCAAGTCACACTGGTATGGTTAGTATGAATATAGGAAGCAGTTAAAGCAGGAGTAGGAGAAAGGAGAGGCGAAGGATGCAGCAGAGTGATTACCTAACAGGGGGAGGACCTGGTCATCTTGGTACTTGCAGAATGCCTGCCTGTAAAGGTGGTGCTCTTGTGTGACGGAGGGTGTGAGGTCTCCTATTGGAATAATAGAGTCCGGGAAGAGGGAGCTTGGGGGGCCCAGTGAGAGCTGCATGGGGCTGCCCATGACATGATTGTGGCCACCATTCCCACCACAGCAGACCTGCTCCGCCCTGCCTTTCGCTTCCCGCGCCATCTCTTCATCTGTCTCACTACCCCAGCGATCAACGCCTACCCCTTCCAGAAGCAGGGACTGGAGACTGGGTTGAGCAGCCCATTTCCTGACAGCTCTGTCTGGGCTGCATGCTCGCCTCTCCGTTCTCTCACCGCTCTTGCTTGGGCGTTTCTTCTTCATGGGGACGCTGCGAAGACCTACTTGGCGAGCACTCCTAATCTCTTCCCTCTCTGTCTCGGTCGGTAACGGTGGACTACGTTTCTGGGCCCGACAGTTATACTGTTGTTGTTTAGAGTTCTGCATCTCCCCATGCAATCGAACTCCGAGATCTTCTCTTTTCTTAATGGTCACTTTTACATGCCCTGGAATGGGCCTGTCAAATTCATCCCTTCTCCGATGGGTGCTACCTAAAGTACTTTGGTTTCTGTACTCTTCATAACACTGCTCGCACCTGCCTGACGGATCTTTCTCTCTAGGACGGAGAGAATAAGAATGCATGTACCTAATGAATCTAGCGGCTGCCAGGACCCCAGCATCCAGGGCAGGTTGCTGACCTGGCGGCCTTCCTTCTTCACTGGATTGCGTGCGTTCCCTTTTGACGCGGGAATTGCCATGGCCGTTCCTAAGGGCTGGGGAAAAGCGAGCAGGTGCTTTGGGTTCAGACTGTCCCTCAGTGCCGGCCCCATGAGCACAACACCTCCATTCCCCAGCACCCCCCACTGCAACGCTACAATCGGCACCAGCATGGTTCTCACCTCGCTGGTGATGCAGCTGCTGCTGAGAGGGATGAACTGGCTTCTTCTTAGAAGAGGATGAGGAGGAGGAGGCAACAGAGGATGAGGATGAAGAGGCACCTCCGCTTTTTACTTTGCTGCTGCTACCCCCACCGCTTTTCTGCTCGCAGGCTTTGGTCTGGATGGTCTCGTCACTGGCTGTTAGGTATTTGAGAAGCTCGGCACAAGGGCGTCGTGTGGGCTTCTGCTGCTGCTGACAGGGGACCCTCTGCTTATTATTCCAGGATGGGTTTTCTGTCTGGTAATTTCAAAACAAAACAAAAAACAGAATACAGCATAATACTGCTATGTATGCACCACTTTTCAAAGACACCAATACATTTATTTTGATTAACAACACTGCTGCTGCTTTTCATTTTTCATATGGTTGATCACTGTTTGTTTTTTTCTCAACCTAAAACACACAGTCGTGCCTAAATGTTCTCTCATTCCCAGGCAATGATGGTTTTAGTTTTTGATGCAAACAAAGTGCAAAAGAAAAACCGAGCCGATCCACCCCAAAGATACGAAATAACATATTGTGCAAATTCCTCTCCCTATTGTCCAGTTTATTAGTGACGCTCTGTTATAGTAAAAGGCAGAACAAAATGCAAATCAAGTACTATAAAACAACTTATCCGATATACTGTCCTACAATAAAAGCAAGAATTTTTCATATAAACAAATAAGTCAATTGAAACTGAATTCTCATTTACAATTCCAACTTGGGTAGTATTCATTTGTACAGCAGGGCATTCCACTGGAGAGTGAGGCATCTTGCTCATGCGTTAAACAGCAGTTCCTGTCCTAGGATTTGAACCCACAACCCTCCAGTTGCTTTCCTTAAAGGAATGGGAACTAAACATGAAATGCAAATGTTGCTACTACCTGAATATAGAGAATCATAAAACACTTTTTACTGAGGTCCACAAAATCAGCTTGCTACAGTCAATGTTTTCAGAGCATGGCATAGAAACTCTACTAGATGGTTGTCATTCTTTTCCGAAAATGTATGGATTATTGTGCTTCATTAAAAAGAACATGTCAGCACAAACTGTGGTAAAGACATAAGCTTAAAAATATGGTAATGGTGTCTCAAAAGATCCATTTCTTTAGTCTGTCAGGGAAAAAAAGGATGTCACCATAGCTAAACAATAAATGCAGGGGATAACTTTCGCTAATTAGACAACCCAGATGTTTCATTAATAGGCCTCGGAGACTTTTTTTTTTGCATTGCAATGAGATGAAACCAAGAAAGAAACCTGGTACAGGAATTGAAAATCTCCCAAGTCTTCAATAAAACAAAAATAGCAAAAATGGAGGAACACAGAAACAGTCTTTCATGTAACGATTGTGTTAGGTAGCTACCTTGACAACAGCAGGTGTTGGTCTGATCCTTTGATTACTAGGAGCCTCATTTTGTGCCTTGCCACCTGTGTATTGATTATAACTGAGCTGGGAGTTAGCTGGTGCCAGCAAGAGCTTCTTTAGCTGTGGAATAAAATGAAGAAAACAAAGCATGTATGTGAAAACAAAAGTGCATATGTCTATAAAACACATTCTTAAGCATCCTTAAATCAGGTTTTGTAAATAGCATATTTTACAGTTCAGGATTCATTATGGTAGACACCAGCAAAATACTACAATATATAATACAATCTGGTCATCTTAGCTACCAACAAGACAATCTGACTGGAGACAGAGCAGGCTGAGCAACAGGTGTGAAAATTCACATACCAGCATCGTATGTAATAGTCCATCAACAATAAGAACATGTAGTACAGGTCAGGTCAAATTAACAGCAAAACGAACTGGTATTGTGAGTGGTGCTTCTTTTAAAGTCACAAGATATAATAAATGGAAAAGGGCCATGCTGAGTGATTCTAACAACACAGGGCTGAAGCAGACTTGGGATATATGTATAAAAAGGTGCACTTTTTTAACATTCACAGAATGTAATTTAAACTGCTATATCTGAATATGGAGGACTACTATAGTTGACAACCACTGATTTAAAGTATAAAAGAAGTATATTTCCCCTATTTCAGAGACATATCCTCATCTGATAAGTTATAATAGATCTTGAACAGCAATAATAAGTTTACCTATATTGACATAGGAGCATGACATTTTCAGATGACTGGGTTTATACAGTATGTACCTGATGGGCAGTTGATCACATAGGTGTCAAGTCTGAAGCCAGGCTTCACAAAATAGCCATCTATTCATAAGACAGTGCTTGTTTCCAAAGAATTAATCATGAAAGCATTAATATGAAGGGGCACTGATTAATGATTCACCCTATTCATGAAGCATTAACTGCCAAACTACTGCACTGGAACAGGCAGCTATAAAACAGGGCAAAATGTCTATGTACTGTACCTTGTCAGCAGTACAGCTTAAACATTTGCCCTCTGTTCCTGTACAAGCTGAGGATGTATATTTGCAAAATCATGTACACACATGAAGCAAGTCAGAAGTGAGTGTAGCAGGGTATATTGAGTATCAAATCAAGCAGGTACAAGTCACAGAAATGTAGCAGCAGTAATTTGTGCTAATGAAGAATCTAGAAATTGAGACGGTAGTAGTTTTTTTTACATTCTACAGCATCTACAGATACAATCTTACTTCTGCCAAGAAGACTGAGAAGAGTTAAATCTGATCTTACACAATGTTCTAAACACACATGTGAATACATATATTTTCCATTGAATTGTACAGAAAAGCATTGTCCTTATTTCACTACATTTTGAAGGACTTTGTTTAGAATGCATTGGTTTTCCCACTGCCTCGAAGCCCATTATAAGTGAGGCATACTTAAAATATGAAGGCTTTCCTTAAACACAATGGCAGAGTGCTGAATGGTGGGAAAGGTGTTTTTCAGGAAACACACTCATTTGTTGAAGTTTGGAGTTTATATTCAGCCCTGTTTATGATACAAATATCATAATAGCGGGGGTGCATCTTTTTTCTTCCTGGAGTTAGAACTAGTTAAGGACAAAGTACATATGACTTATCATTATCAGGAATTTGGAAAGTTTGTTGTTGCAGATACTCTATGTGTACCATTATGGGGTACACAACAGTGAATACTGCTGTTGGAAAACAAAAATGAAAACTGCTTATTATGTTGTAATTCTTACTGTTTGCACCACTCAGCTCCAAGGCAGTTGTTTTAGGACCTATAATTAATAAAGTGAGCCTGCCTGCAGTGTACACATCTCTTAAAGGCTTTTCCACAGACCCTCAGCCAGGCCTTATTTTCACTACTTCATACCCATGCAGGGGGTAGCCAATCCTTTGGTGATAAACAGAAGGAAGACATCTTACTAGAGATGGCTCCTCTGCTTCTGGTGTGGGAGGAGAGCCATCAGGTGAGGATGGGCAGCTCTGATCACTGGTGTTGGTCACGTCGCCTTCTGCCAGAGCATCGAATGAAGGCAATCCGTCCTCATCCACCGGGAGGCTGTCCAGGGTCTCGGTGAGAACTGCCAGCAAGTTGGCCTCATTTTCTTCATCTATCTTCTGCCGAGAGGAAAGTTAAAAAAAATATATCATTTTAAATTGGACATTTTTTTTGGACACACAGTTCACGGCTAATGCAGAATTATTCAATGTGTTGCTTTTTTCAGTCAGTGAATATCCGAAGTGCTGGTCTTTTCTTTAATTCCACATTTCCCTTTCCTTTACGAGTCAGATCTGTCACTCCCAGATTAAGTACGCAGCTTACTGGACCAAAATAATATCTCCCCCAAGAAATCCATTATCAAGGCTGATACACAGCAAGTGTCTGAAAAGAAAAATAAAAGACCCAAAAAAGGCAACGACAATGAGCTAGAAGTTCAGCGGTTTGTTTTCCAAAACTCTCCACACCAACATGAATCTGCTTAGAATTATCAGCTTGCTGACAAGATGTGTGCATGAAACCCTCAGATAAGAGTATTACAGCACGTTCCTAGGGAATGTAATACAAAATAAAAAAACGGTTAAATAAAAAAAGAAACTTTTATTTTTCCAACTCCTCTTAGGTTGGCATTCCCATGCAAAATGAAAAAAGAACACTTAATTGAAAAAATAGGAACACATCTGCTCATCCATTTTCTAACTGCTTTATCAAATACAGGATTTGATCAAATCTGGAAAGCAACAGGAGCAAGGCTGGATTCACTCTGGATGGCACACCAGTCCATCACAGGACACAAACACCTAGCACACTCGCACCAGGGCCAATTTTCCCAGAAGTCAATTAACCGACTTGTACTGTATGTCTTTGGACTGTGGGAGGAAGCCAGAGTACCTGGAAGAAGTCCACACAGACAGAGGGAGAGCATACATACTGCACACAGATAGTGTAGCAACCCAGGGCCTCAGTGCTGAAGGGTAGCAATGCTAAGCACTGAGCCACCATGCCACCCATTGGGAATACAAAATTATATATAAATTGCATGCTAAAGACAGACAACTATTCATCGCACAATTGTCTTGAGGAATTCCCGGTCAAAATCAGTAATATTCCCGCATGTTTTAGTATTTCACACACTCACACCTCACAAAAGATGACCTTTTCATCTTTCTGATGCTAGGCTTGGCTTACCAATTTATTATTCCGATGTTAAAATGACAGAAAAAAATCACGGTGAGTACTACACAGCTTACAGAACTTAGTTACCTTCATATAACTCTTACTAATGAGTTGGAATTCAAGACAAGATACTTATTTTGAAGAGAGAACAGAAAGTCAAAAGATGCTGCTGGATAGCACTAATTTAAACCATGCAGAAAAAAAAATTCCTATGCATTAACTTGCTCTTAAAACGGTTAGAACTTCAAACTATTGCAGTTTAGATTCGGTGGCCATTGACAACTCTTTCATCAGACTTTCTTAAATTGAATAACTAACAAGGTAGAAAACAGCAAAAACAGAAAAAGGGCTTGTTAAAGATTACAGTGTTTTCCAGGTAGGGAATATTTCATTAGGGCTGTCTAATCCTGGTCAGAGAGGGCCAGGTTCTTTGGAGGTTTTCATTCAAACTCATCTCTTAATGAGCTAAACCAGCTGTTGCTGGCTTAACTGGACCTGCTTAACAGATTCATAGAACTGTTCAGGTGCTGCTGTTTCAAAGAGACATTAACTGGCCTTCCAGCACCAGGACTGGAAATTCCTAAGTTAGATAATAAAAAGATATTGCTTCAATGGCCAGTCCTTTGTAGTAGTTTGTACTACACTTTCTCTGTGTTCTATAATTTGACAACCCCCATGCTTTACCATAAACGGTGAAGAGTTTTGATAGCAAACTCTGGCAGCTAACAGACCTATTTGTAATATAGGATCAAAGTAAAGGGGGACAACTCCCTTACACAACATGTAACCTTGAGACTGGGAATGAAACCAGAAATTATGAGTCTCTTGTTCCCAAAACAAGGCTACAATAGCAGCTGCACAACTATAGTGGTGTTCCTCTCCTGTTAAGTGATCTGTAACCTGACAAAATAAATTTCATATTCCTTTAGGAATACCTGCTTTGGCACTGACAGGCAGAACTCTGATAGGAGTCAAAACTTCAATTAAGCCGCAGCAGAAATGATTTTCTATCAAATAACGTTCTCCAAAGGCTACAGAAGCAAACAATTCTACAAATGAGAGGTAGGTATTCTGTTCCTAGGATAAGTGTTTCTTTAGTTTCATCTCTCCATGAATGTAGGGCAGGGAAATGTTTTTACATACTCTGAAAATGTTATGGATTCTAGAGTGGAGATAAGTCACGGTCTGTGCTCTGCTCATAACATTGCACAAAGTGAAGCTGGGCTGCTGAGTCTCAAATTATTCTCCTACCAAAAGCAGTTGTTCAGAGGTTTGTAGACGATCTATTAGCTTCATTTCAGAGCAAAAGAGCATTATCCAATTCTGTAAACCTTTCTGAAATTCAGCATTAAAAGGAGTTTGCAAGGTACATACCCAAGAGGGAAGAATTATCTGGCAGATTTTGACAGCAAAATGAGCTTTATTGATAAGAGAAACAGTTGCTAACAAAAAGCACAGTCCCATTCAGCATGCTGTGGCTCTTGCAACACTGAGCTACACAGAATTAAAGAGACATTCAAGGGCTAATTGTGGGATCACAATATATTCATCTAATTCAATTCTAAAGGGTGCTGTTCATGGCATTTTATATAAAATGGTTCAATTAGCCATAAAACATCCTGGTGAGAGAGAAACCCTGTGTCCCACCCTTCCCAACCTCACTCTAAAGAAAAAGCACACACCAGTCATTTATTATCTGGAGAACCCTTTTGTTATCGAATAGGTTGTCTTTGAAATTGTCCTTGCTTGTTTAACTCTTTTATGGAGTTCTTTGGCTCCATTGTATTCTTGAGATATAATTCATGCCACAGATAACCAGCACATTTTTTAATCAACCACATGAACTTTAAGTTGGATTTCAATTTTCACTGTAAAACTAATTTATTTGAGTCAGAAATGCAGCTAGAAAAGGCATTGATATACATATAGTTTGACAGAATAGCATCCTTTTCAAATTGAAATAGGCCAACAAATTCAGTTAGAAAAGAGAAGTATAGCATTTTTATAAATAAATCCTAGTCCTGTTTCTTATACATGTACTCAAAAGAACAGCACTCCCAAAGCTGAGAAAGCTTTTGCTAAGATAATGCATAATCCCAGCAGGGCAATCTTGCAAAGCAACCATTTATTTTCTGGTTCAAAATAAAATGAACAGACTTATTCAACCAGAAAACATACCTAATAAATTGACCAGAGGATCGCTCGGGTTAAATTCCTGGTCTTGACAATTTAATTGCACTGCTTAGTTTTCAGATATCAAAAGCATTCTCTCAGATGAGGTTAACTGAGTGGGCACAGTTCCTAATCGCTAAGCCATCTGAATTAGGTGTGTGTGTCTCAACATCTGAACTCTATAGAGAACACACATTAGATTTGATAAACAAATAATGTCATTTTCTATTATTACCATGGCCCCAGATTTCAGAGGAAATAAATCAAAGTCACTCGTAACAAAATATGTTAGTCTTGCTGACACATTGCATGGTCACACCAGCAGAACATATGGCAGTGGGAGCTGCTGAATAAACAGCCAAGGCAAATCACACAGAATACAGAATATCTGGCCATATAAATGGGAGAAAATAAAGTATTTACAGTAATTGTAATATTTAGGCAATCTTATCCATATGAAATCCATAAATATGTTAAGCTACTTACAGTGTATAGATATCCCAGACAGTTATGTAACCAAGCTACAGCAAATCCGCTATAACTTAATGTGACTGACGATCACCCTCAGTTTCCTGAGCAGTGCGAGGCAAACAACTTTCTTACCAACACATCCTTAAAAAGGGATGATTTTGTATTGCACCCTTCACCTGCTTAAACATCCAAGTTCAACACGTATACAAATAATTTAACTGAAGTTGGTATAAAAAAATCAATTATTTCTCCTCACTGTAAGGCTTTCACTACACAGGTCTGTTTTTAAAAGTCTTCAAAGTCAAACACTCTTGCAAGATGAATTAATAACCCAGCTAGGTCCTTACAATCCTGCTCACCCCCAGGTACACAGTGTTCTTTCTCCTACTCAGCAGTTCATTGTGGCCTTCAATAAAGATCTAAAAAGCAAAGAAAGAAGGGCAGTGACATTCTGCATTTCTTCAGCATAGCTTGCTAGGTGGAGATAAGGACAGACATAAGAACACCTCTCCACTCCACTTTAATGTCAGTGCCTTTGATGATTTGAGTTGCTGATTTCAGACAATTTCACCCCAGCTAATTATTGCCACAGTTGGACGCATCACAGAAGCCACTCCAAAGGGAATAAAAGGTGAACCTCAATATACTGAACACCTGAGCACTACTCAGGTAGTTATAGCAGAAAATACCGAATTACCTGTACAGGCACACTTGCGAACATAAAACTCTTAGAGGTGAAATAATCATATGTTAATGCCTCAGCAATGAATATTCCTGGGATGCATTTAAAATAAAAATAGCCACCAGTCATGAATTTGGGTTTATACAGCACCTTTTAAAGGATTTATTAAGTCCCCTGTGTGTTTCGAGCCACTACTCAAATTGAGAAGTTAAAGCTAACGCTGATTTTTTACAGGCAGAGGATCTAAAATGTCATTATCACTTAGAATGGGCTATAAAAAAACTTTTTTTCCCCTCTCACAGTTCAGAAATGCATTGGATGCACTGTTGCAGCACTACTAATTTTAAAGCTCATTTTCCCCAAGTAACTAAAATTGCTTCTTGTAAAAGTACCAATGTCATGCCTGGTAGCATGGTTTTCAGACATTACAACAGAATGAAATATGAAACGAGCTTAAAATGAGTCAGAGCTATCTAAATCTACTGATGCATGCATTTGTGGACACAGCAGATATTGATATGATTTCTGAATCTGACTGAGACAGCCTTCCAACATTGGTGCAGTAACAAAAAGTGCAGAGTTCTGTTTTCTGAACACTCTGCAAAGCTGTAGAAATCC